AAAAAAAAAAAAAGAAAGAAGAACTCTCATCATCGTTTCACATATTTCGTCACTTTAACATTACCGAGCTTAAAGATAGAATCGTTTCGTTTCGTAAAAACGTGTCACGTTTTCTGCCCATCATGGAAGAGAAAGGAAAAATTTCGCGCGGCGAGGCAAAAGTCGATCGAATTGGCCGATTGGAATTAGCTTAATTATCATCGTCTTACGTCATGATCCAGCTCCGTCTCGGAGGTGTGTCCGCTCGGCGGTGCCGTTTGCTGCTCAACCTCCTGACCCGGATCTGTCATCGCGTCTTTCAGGTCGTAACTGCCCGAACTGCTGCTGCTCGTGGACCTGGCTGGTGACGGGGGTACCTCCAATCCAAATGGAATTTCCGTTTCCTCCAATATCGGTGGCGGGCTGCATGGCTCTTCAACGACGGCCTGACCACGACAAACCGAAGCGAAATTTACTTACAGTTTCGTAATGGGAACGTAACGCGGAGGTGAGAGTTTTTTCCCTTTTACGAACAAAAATTGCTTTGTCGAAAAATTGCGAGTTGTTAAAGTTTTTGGCCAATTTTAGAAATTTTTGTTTAACGCGAATAAGAATTCTTCTGGAATATTGATAAATTTGAAATATGAAATATGAGATGGGAAATACATTGTGATTGATAATGTGGTAAAAATAAAAATTGTAGAAAGTTGGAAAATATCGTTTGATGAAAAGGATCGAAAAATCTGGAAGATTAAACGTAGAATTTTTTATTGGCAGAAAATAATCGTGGAATTTTAATTTTTCTTTCTTTTTTTTCTTTCGTGTAACAAAAGATTAACAACGTAGGTATACGTTGGTACTTATTTCTAGATTTACACGTTTTTTTTTTCTTTATACACGGCAAATTATCTTTCTTGCTTTATGCGATATTTTTAAATATCTCACAAAGAAAGATAAATTAGTTTTCAAAAAATTTAATAAAAGAAGAAAAAGTTAATTAATTTTGTAATATTGTGAACATCGCGTTACATTTTCTATCGATTTTACATTTTTAATTACTTAATTATGACTTATGCAAATAATTCTATAGTCAGATTTAGACGTTTAATTATTAATTTTTCAGAATTTTTTCTATCCGTATTCGTAAATTTTTTCAATATTAATGCAAATTTTATCTCATTATATTTCTGCGACCGTTGCAGATAAACCATGCAGTATATTCAGGTCGTTAAGTTTCATAAATGCAAAATTTTAACTAATTGACCATTTCTCTGATAATCTGCGATAATTATTTTGTTTATACGAGACTATTTTAATACACGTATCTTAATATTTATGAACGAAAATGTACACAAGTGTTAATAATTCACGTTTAATTCATTATTATCCCTTTGCATGGATCACGGCTCATATTTTCTTCACAACGAGAATCTTATATAAGTAATAAAGTATTTAAA